TCTTGTCTACTGTAAAGGTGAACGAAGAGGGGCGTTTTCAAGTCAGCTTGCCATGGCTTGATAACCATCTACCGTTAAAAGATAACTATGACTTAGCTGTAAAGAGATTAGCTTCTACAGTAAAACGACTAAAAGCTGAGAAACTTTATGATGCTTATGGAGAAGTTTTTAGTGAATGGGAACAAGAAGGCATCATAGAAGAAGTACCAAAAAGCGAAATTGATGTAACATGCCATTATCTACCACATCGACACGTAGTAAAAGAAAACAGTACTACACGAATCAGGCCAGTGTTTGATGCCTCGGCCAAACAAAAAGGATCCCCTAGTCTCAATGATTGTCTAGAAAAAGGTCAGAACCTTATCGAACTGATTCCTTCAATTCTTCATAGATTCCGAATGAACAGAATAGGAGTTTCTGCAGATATACGAAAAGCATTCTTACAAATAAGTCTCAACCCTAAGGATAAAGACTATCTAAGATTCTTATGGTATAGAACTGATGGAAAACTGAAGTATTACAGGCATTGTAGGGTAGTATTTGGAGTTACAAGCAGCCCTTTCTTGCTAGTTTCTGTAATTCACCATCTTCTAGAATCCACTTTGAAACAACTAAATGGAAACCCAAAGTATAAAGTGGATATTATTGAGCAATTGAAGAAGAGCTTTTATGTAGATAATTGTTTAGCGAGTGTGAAAAATGATTTAGAATTGCAACAATTCATACAAGTTGCTTCAGATACTTTAGCTACAAGAAAGCTAGAATTACGTGGTTGGGAATATAGTGACCCAACAGATAATTCCTCTAGTACCACAAATGTATTAGGAATGATTTGGGAACGATGTGGAGATTACCTTTGCCTTAATATTACTAACATCACCTACAGTCTACCAGAAATTTTGTCTAAAAGAGAGATTTTAGCTACTACACACAAAATATTCGACCCTTTAGGAATAGCTTGCCCCGTAACTCTTGTGCCGAAACTTTTACTTCAGCACCTATGGGAAGTTAAGTTATCTTGGGACCAAGAAGTTGATTCAAATTCAAAATCACAATTTTGTAAATGGTTGAATGATTTGCAGTGTCTGGAAAGAATGAGAATACCAAGATGGTTAAACTGTGATCGTGAGATTGAAAATATCTCACTTCATTTCTTCAGTGATGCGAGTAAACTTGCATATTCAGCTGTGGCCTTTGTTCGAGTACAAACAAGAGATTCGGTTCAAGTTCATTTGGTGCAAGCTAAAGCGAGAGTTGCACCCAGCGGAAGGAAAAAGACAACAATAGCTCGATTGGAACTTCTTGGAGCTACAATATGTGCACGTTTAGCATCCAGCATAATACCTGAATTTCAAGCTGATGATATTTATTTTTGGACAGATTCGTCTACTGTGCTAGCTTGGATACAGAGAAATGAAGTATGGGACGTATTTGTTCACAACAGAATTAAGGAAATAAAGCAACTGACTTCTATTGAATCCTGGAGGCACGTACCAGGATCACTGAATCCTGCTGATTTGCCCAGTAGAGGATGCTCTGCTTCTTATTTAATTAAATCCAGATGGTGGGAAGGACCTAAATGGCTATATTTATCACCTGAAAAATGGCCAAAAGAAGATTTTAGTGCTGATGAAGAAGAAATAGCTCTTGAGAAAAAGAAAAGGATTATTTCGTCCTTAATAAATCTTAATGCTAGTGAAATAGTTGCTACTAGATTCTCAAGTTATCGTAAGACAATCAGACTGGTAGCGTGGATGTGTCGTTTTGTTTACAACTGTAAACATCAAAACAAGAAAAAGGATGAACTTACTGTATCTGAGTTAAATGAAGCAGAGAATATCTTGATTCGTTTAATACAAAATGAGTCCTTTAATGGAATAGAAGATAAACGGATTTTAAGTCTTAATCCATTCATTGATTGTGGGATCATCAGAACTAAAACAGCGAATATTTCAAAGAGAAGATACATCTGAGTTCAGAACTCCTGCTATTTTGCCAAGTGATCATCCTCTTATAAAAGTTTAATAATGGAAGAACATAAGTTGAAAGGACATGTTGGAGTTTCTCACGTCCTAAATTCCTTAAGAAAAAGATTTTGGATATTAGCTGGAAGAAGAGTTGTGTCATCCGTTTTGAAAACTTGTATAACCTGTAAGCGTTATTCAAACAAAAATGTTAACCCACCAGCGCCACCACTTCCTAGAGATCGGGTACAGGATGCCTCAGTATTTCAAATAACCGGCATAGATTATTTCTAAGAGACTACAAGAAGGCATGGATTTGCCTATTCACCTGCGCAGTGTACCGTTGTGTTCATTTGGAACTGGTTACATCCTTAACGACAGATACATTTCTACAAGCGTTTCATCATCGTTTTTCTGCTAGACGTGGGAAGCCATCCATAATTTATACTGATAATGGAACAAATTTTGTTGGAGCATGCAATGCACTTGCTTCAATCGATTTCAATGAAATTGCAAAAAAAGGAGCTAATGAACGTATTATTTGGAAGTTCATTCCCCCAGGCGCTCCATGGTGGGGTGGCTGGTGGGAACGCCTCATAGGAATGATGAAAAGAATATTAAGAAAAGTTCTTGGGAGAGCCTGCCTTAGTTATGAGGAAATGTGTACCGTTTTGTGTAACTGTGAAGCTATCCTAAATGATAGACCTTTAACAGTTGTATCGGCTGATTCAAGTCTCACTTCCATAACACCTGGAAATTTTTTACGAGAAATACAAAACTATTCAGTGCCAATTGTGAAACATGACTTCAATTCTAACTTTTATAAACGTAGATTGCGTTATATCCAAAATGTTAACCAGGTTTTCAAGAAAAGATTTCGCCAGGAATATCTGGGAACTTTGAAAACAACAAGCAAAAAATTCGCTAGAAGTTGTAAATTAAAAGAAGGAGACATTGTCTTAATTGGAAGCGATGACAAAAGGAGATTAAATTGGCCTCTTGGTAAAATCATACAATTATTTCCAGGTACCGACGGTGAAAGTCGACGAGCCAGAATTAAAGTGCAAAATGGAGAAGTCATAAGAGCTGTACAAAATCTTTATCCTTTGGAATTATCGACTGCCGAGGAACTTCCATCGAAATTCAGCGGAAGTGAACGATGCGAAAATATTTTCGGTAGAGCAAAACTTCCAATTGATGATGTACCAGTAGAAACAAATAGAATAATCCATACCCATTTAAAATAGCCCACGATAACCAAATCAGGAAGGACAATTAGAGTTCCTCATCGATTGGACTTGTGAGAACAATGTTTAATATTTTATTATTTTGCAATACTCAATCCCGAATTTCATATTGCAAGGTGGGAGGATGAACAATATTTTGACTCGATAATATTTTTTTGTAACTGCAGCTTCTGAGTAATATTGCACGAGCTTCAAGCAGATGTAATCGTTTTCTTTACTGTATAGGTTTTTTTATTCATTATCTATTCATATTATTATTATCTATGTTTTGTAACAGTTTATGTTTCAGAGAATGGCAACATACTATGATGTTGTTCTTTTTTAGAGAGTTAAGTGTAACTTTTGTTTTCATCATTTGAGAGTATGAGTAAAAGGAATATTTAATTATTGTAGAGTCATAAATAACTAAAGAGATATAGATAGTTATTTTCCGAGTAATAAATAGTTCTTGAGGTAACAAATTTGGTGAGAATTTTTGAACAAGAAAAGCCGTTTATGGTAGTGATTTTAAGAATGCTTTTTTTTTTTGCGAGTGGCAGTGTTAATTACTAAGTTAAAAATGGAAAATTATTTAACTGTAGAAAGTGGTTACACATCAGATTTTTTTATAAAGTTTTTCAGCAGAGTAAAATTCTGTGCAGTTTTAAGAATTCAATGTTTTGTGTTACCTTCAGGCATTTTCCCGGTACATTTAAAAGCCTGATGTCCATATTCGCGTGGAGATGCACGTTATTCAAAATTTGATGGCTCTAGGTACTGCTGTTTTATCACAGTGCGAGAAACATACATACATTTATGCAGATTCTTCATTATTTAATTCCTTTAAATATAATAAGGGCTCTAATATTTGGTGGCAACAATTTAAAAAGTGATTTGCTGTTTATAATGAATCAACGCAAAATACCAAAATGATAATAACCCTTCTTGGCAAATTGACCCTTTGGGCTAATAATAACTGAGAATTATTTTTTATAAAAACATTTGAAAACCTGAGCAATATTTCAATCACACGAAAGATTTTAATGATAAAATTCAAAACCATATTGAACAGATTTACGATGGCTTGATGCGCAACATTGTAGCGGTGGAAACATTCAACTATTCAAAAAATGTCTATTTTATAATATTTGCTGCTTAATAATTATTCTTATTTAAATGTTACTTACAGTACTTATAGTTACCGGATAAATACAAATTACTTCTTAATGTAATGTTTCTCAAGGAAAATCCTGATTGGCCACACTGTATTTATTAATTTGGTTTTGGCAGCAACCAAAAGGTTTTTTGAAATTTCTCGTATTTTCAATGGTGAGGTGTTAGCAAATAACCTCACAAACATAGAAGTAAAGAGTTTTCTGTTAAAATAAATATGTCTTAAATATTCACTTCATCAATGTTAGACAGTTTCTTAGTTCATTATTATGCTGCTTAATATCGCCAATCAGTACTGTAGCTGGGATTTAACTTCGGAGCCTGTGACTTTTTATTAAAATCAATATTTTTGTAACTGTGTATTCTATTTAAAAACTCAAATTTCAGTTTGAGAGGTCTGCGCAGCCTCTTCAGCTCTTCCCTAAATACAGCCATGTCGTCAGTAACAGCATCAAATGCAGATGTTTTTTTATTTGTTTTTGGCATTTTGTAAATGCTGTTTTTGACCAATAATAAAAAGTTATTAAACGTCGTGCTTTCTAAAGAAGTTAGATAATTTAAAATAAAATTATATGTAATGAAATGATTTCAAGTACAATACAGTGACATTAATAATAACAAAATTAGTGAATCTTACTTGAGAAGTTGTACCGTGAGTGTACCTTCCGGTTTTATTTCTAACGATTTTCCCCAAAACTTGAGCCTTGGATGGATATTGCCATAGAACTGAAAATCGTTGGATTCTGCATGGAATGCGCTGACAGGTGGATGATGACTCACTTGCTCGCAAATGAACCGAAATCCTAAATCTTCTCTGCAAGAAATACAAACGTCATTTTTTTTTAGGATAAAACATTTGTAAATAAGTAACAAATATTTTTTACAGTTTAAAAGAAGTGAAGTGATTGACTTATTTCTCAGAGAGACTTAAACATGACATATATTTTTATCATGAATAATAGCTTACATCTGTGTAAAATGCCGACACATTCCCTCCCAGGATACTGTTATAAAGCGGTCCTTACCGTTCCAAAGCGTTGTTACTCATTTCAGTTGGATCTATTAATCAGAGTATAAGGTAAAATTACGGCGCTAGCATACCCTGTACAAAACTGCCCGCAAATCAGAAATTCATCATCCTAAGGATGCCGGCACACTCACCTCATAATCGATCTACATGAAAATGCCGCCACATTCACCATAGTTTGCCATTATAGCGATTCTTGCCGTTCATTTATTTTGTCTTGTAAGACTCAAGGATTATAATTCCTCTCTGAATCTCCCGTTTTTCCTCCATTTCCGACGGTAGAAGTTTTAGTTCATCTTATTCAGTAAATAGCAAACTTCATTCCATTTATGCACTGATAGAAGAAACCCTTCTTTAAGAACGAAATGTTAATTTTGGCTAATTTATAGAAAAGAAGCAATTTGAACAAAATCTTTTGTTTAACTTACCTTTTATTTTAAAAATACATACCTTGGGCTGTTATCACTTGTAAACGGGCAAGAGTACTTTTGCACTGAAAAATTTCTTTTTCTATGTTCTCGTGGTGCCCTTCTGCAGCTAACTCATTCAAAAATGCAATTATTGTCTGCTGAAACTATCAAGAAGACACTTCCCACAAAAAGACGGCTCTTCTCAAAGAGAATTGCACCTCCAAAGAGTATCTGCTGCAGAACTTCAGATGAGAGCATCTGGCGTACATCTCTAACCTCATCTTCAGAGATTACCAGCTTCTCACAAAATTAAACAGAGTTTTTTTAGAGGGAGAAAAAGCGTTACTAATAAAGAAGAGTTCCAACCAAGTTTAATCGTGGCTTTACATGTTTCAGAGTCTTAGCTGATTATGTGAAATAATAGTTCAAAGTATTCGTTTTGAAAATAAAAGCGCTTTATTCGACGAACTTATGTTATTATTATTTTTTTTAATTCCCAACCAAGCCTTTTTGGTTGTGCTACACACATTGCTCAATTTTGCCCGCTCTAAATACATTTTTAATCATAAAGAAACTAATGCTTACTGAATCTTGGAGAAAATGAGAGATTTAACTGAAAATTTGCAGTTTTATATTCAAATGATAATTATAAACTAAACTTTTGCAAAAGCATGAGTTTTTGAGATAAAATATTTATGCTTTTATCAAATATGTTTTTGCTGTTATTTTTCCATTAAATTTCAATGAAATTTAAAAATTATAAGCTAAGTTTAAATTAAAGGATAAAGGATAAATTCTAATAATTATTTTGTAAATAATAGCGAAATAAAGTAAAAACTTATTGCTTGAAACATGAAAAAGATAACGTTTCTTTTATTTTCAGAAATGGCAATTAAACGTCCAGTGCAATATTAAATATGTATGTGTTTAAAAGAATTATTCGAAGAGAAAAATTATAAACATTAAATGATTTTTAACTCCTGAGCAGAGGAATTCAGTAAAAGTTCTTAAACAAAAAACAATATTCATAACAACCACAATGTATAATGAAGCGAAAACCGAGCTTCTAGTTTGATAAGAAAGTAAAAATTAAATAATGCGAAGACGCGAAAAAGAGTAATGCTATTTTCTGCGAAAACCTTAGAGAAATAAAAGAAATTCTGTCTGGAGTAAATAACAAGGCTTGGAAGGGGGAATAAACAAGCCTGTCACGCATTGTGAATTTGTGAATAAAGAATATGAATGAGAAAGAACTGATGTGAAAGTTTAAAAGCTGAATCTCGCGAGATCACGATCATGAACGTGAGATCGAGAGTGCTCAGTGAGGTGATTCAAACGATATTCTGTTATTCTGTGTCTTCAGAGCCTTGGTAGGATGAATGAATCTAGGCTGTTGAATCATAATGGTGGCGAATTAACAAAGCCGGAGTCATTTCTCTTCCGTGCTCACCATTATTTGTCATACTGGTATTAAATTTAAAGATGCGTCAAATATTTTCGAGAAAAGTGAGGCATATGAAAGTTTTATTTTTCATGCATAAATTATTATTAATATTCGGACAGTTCTTAAGTTTGGTTTTATTTTTTTTTTCAGACAAAGTAGATGTGATTCATAGTCTCTGGTTATATGCTGGTATATAACTATATACTGTTATGCAGCACATAGTTTAAAAACATCGCTTAGAAAAGAAGGCTTCAAATAATATCCTTGTGCGTTTAGTATTTTATTTTAAAACGCAAAAGCACTTATCAGTCATATTGACAGTTAATTGCATACCAATTTAACAGAGGATGCTAAGTTTTAGAAAGAAGTTAATTGTTATTTTTTATCTGGAATTTTAGCAATTCACTTTCACATAAAAATAAGAGAATTTTTAGAAAAGTTATAATTGATCGTGAATGAATAATATAAACAAACGAAATTTATACCACCTTTGCAAAAACTGCTTATTGTTCAAAATTCAGCTTCAGAAGCAGATGTGCTATTATTTCACTACGCAGATAAACGTTCGTCCTTTTAAAACAGAAAAACCAAATTATTCTTTATTGTTTTAACCAACCATTTCTACTTCCGTTCATGATACTATAGCGTTGCCCGCGTAAGGCTTCGTAATGGATTGAATGCACACAGAATCGATGGTAGCTCGATAAAATTTATTTTTCCAAAAGAAACACTTTACAGTATAAGATATTTTTCCCGTTTTCCTAGCGTGCCTTCGTGGTCTAGTGCTTCTGCACGCCAGGCCGGTATTCCAGAGGTCCGTGGTTCGATTCCTGGCGAAGGCGATTGCTCATTTTTCATCTTGCCTGCTTCCAAAAAATACCTAATATCTCTACAACAGTACTGGAACTTTCCACAAAAGTATTCGTACAGCTCTTATCAGTATGGCAGAAGATATCACTTCAAACTACTAAGAATGTTAAACAGAACGCAATACAAAGCGCGAAACTCGCACGGAGGTCTCTCAATACTAAGAAATCTACTCGGCTTCTTCTAACTATTTCTCACCAAATTTGGTGATAAAAATTGATCGCTGAAACCCTCGTCAGCTTGGCAATATCTCTCTAATCTAGCGAGATAATCACGTAACTCAATGTTGAATATACCTTGTCACCTTAGTTTTCGGGTGGAGCTTCATTCGCTTCAGACCTTTCATGTTACATTATATAAAATTCGTAACATTTGCCCCCCTTCCCAAAGACTGCAAATCCCGAGCAGTACAATCCCTGCAGAGGAAGCATTCTTATAAGTAAGGAAAATCAATGCAATACCAAAACAGTAATTTCAATAAATAACAGAGAACAAATCAAACACTAAATTAATAAATAAATGCACGAATTTATATAGAAAGAGGACCACGGTCTTAGTATACTATTTACATTATATACAGTAAGGGGTCTACGAACTATTGCCATTGTAAGGAGTTAGAGTGTCGTAATGAACGCTTTTATGCTTAGAATTTGATGACATACGGAATTGAACTACGATGTCGTTCAGCTTTTTATGGTTGTGTAAGGACCGTCCCAGTGTGACATAGTTTAAGAGAAATCCTTGCCCTCGAATCAGATTGCATACCACACCTTGTCAGCTTCGTTCAATCTGTGTCCAGTAACTCTCATGTCGTATCGTGTCTTCATCTTCTCCGTCGTCAAGCTGACTCGCTCTCGTGCAAAATTATGCATCACTTCAAACCGTAACTAGAGATATTGAACGTACTCTCAGGTGATGGATGAAGGCGCATCCGAAGGGCAATCAAACAGAAGATCACAAAGGCAGACGAAGGTCCCGGCAGAGGAGCATCTGGGATGGGGAATAGTCAGAGTCTCGTGGACAGCACTGCGGTAGGCTAGTAAGAACAGAGGTAACTTCTGGTCGCAGTCCTGTTCGCTTCTGAAAACCATCAGCAGAGGTTGTTAAGGATGGTTCGATTAAACCCCTCTATCATGCCGTCTTTTCTCGGTCAACAATGTGCACCTCTATCTGGCAATATCCACTCATTAAACGGAGCATCGAAAACCACTTGCTTCCGGAAAGCGTGCCCAGAATATCGTCAACTCTAAGATGTTAGCTATCTTTATTTCTGATGTCGTTCAGCCCCCGATAGCCAATGCAAAATCTAATTGAACCATCCTTTCTTCTGACCAGGATGATGGGAAAGGCGCTGAAGTCTTATAAGGTATCTCTCCCGCCTTCTTAGCGAGCCTTCGTGGTGTAGTCGTCAGCACACTCTGCGCGTATTGAGAAGTCCGCGGTTCGATTCCGGGCGAAAGCGTTGCTAATTTTTTATCTTGCCTGCTTCCAAAAATACCTAATGTCTCTATAGTCTCAATATCGTAGCTTTCTTGTATGTCCTTTGGAAATTTTCTGACCTCTTCCAGTTTAGCAATCGGTAGAAATCTTGGTGGATAAAACCCTGTATCAATTCTATGCTGTGTCAAACTAGTTCTACCGACATCAGAAGATGTGAACATCTTGAACTTCTTCAGTGACACTTTCAACAGTACTCTATTAATTCATCACTTAGTTTTGCAATCTTTAATAACACCGATGTTAGGTTCTCCGAAGACATAGAGATTGAAGGACTACTGGTTCGCTTAACTCAGGTCACTGCAATACATGCTGCAATCACTTTGCCTTTCCTAATGACCTTCGCCTTATCACTTACATTGGCAACTCACTTCGGGATATCGGTTCTTGATAGGTCGGCGAATGCCGAGGATATTACACTTCTTTCGAGCTGAATACTGTTCATAGGATATTTCATTATGCCGTACCGAAAATTTCTGTTTTCAGATATGGATACAGGGAGCAAAAAATTATATTCTTGCTAGCACTGTGATATCGTCTTGAGCTATGATTTGATGGACGGATTTAAC